ACAAAAGCCCATCACTCCGCACACGAAGCATCGGTGGTCCTCAGAAACGGGAAGCACAACACCATGATCGCACCAGCAAATTACGCAGGCGAGCCAAGAATTTCTGCAGCATGTCCTCTGCACTGCCGCTGTATCTCAGGAAGTCCATACTCCTCCCAAGTTCGTGACCTCCAGTTGCCCGCAACCCGAACCTGCTCCGCCGGAACATTGTTAGCCAGCAGAGCGCAAGCGCGAACGCCTCATGCTATGGCCGGTAATGTTAGGAATATCCCAAGACAAAACCTTCGAAGGAAACTCGGCAGATAAGAAGGCTCGCAGCTCCTTCCCGAAAGTGGCGCTCTTTAACGAAGGAAAGATACACTCATCCCCACCCTCGACGCGTGTTCGACAAGCACTGACCAAGTAATGAGCTATGCACCACGTCCTTCTACAAAACATAAGGTCTGCCGCTCCTCGCGAGAAGCAGTCTTGGTATCGTGGAAGATTACAGAGACCAGCAACCCCTCAGAGCTCGACTCCCAAGAAATGTCCGCACGAATGAGGCCGGGCAACTGGTCGAAGCGGAGCATAAAGATCGACGCCACCAACACGGCAGAACGAAGCTGATCACGCAAACCACCGGGAGTGAGCTGCATGTCCGCGAGAGATTGAAGGCATTCCTGACATAAAGGCGCGGCCTGCTTCTTCGGCTTGTCCTTATCCAAGAGGATACGATCAGCACTAGCCAGAGCTCGAGAAATCAGAGCCTCCCCTTCTGGTGGGATGCTCTTGCCAGTTGAACCACACCCATCGTTCGCACCGCCGAAGTATACTCCCGTACTGTGCCAGAAGTGATCTACCGGCTCCCAGGGAGCCCCCTGTCAACCCACGAATAAAAAGAGACTAATCGCTCGGGAGTGACCGGGTTCGAAGGAGATATAGTACCAAACCCCATCTCGTAAAAACGCAGAGGTGTCTGATAAGAGGCCATAGTCCTGGGTTTAAGAGAGTACTCCAGGAGACGGGAGTTGGCTCTCGCTCGATCCTCCGGAGTCGCCGCCGTCTCTGCCGCATAAACTCGAGCAAATGAGAAGGAAGTTGAGACTTCTTGGGCATCAAATACAGAGGAGCCTGTGCAAGACCCACAATCCCATTCAATCGAGTTCCTCCCCGCCAACCCAAGCAGTACTACGGCAGAAGCAGCATAGCAGATGATGATAATACTACGAGCCGCCGTCAGGACAATGTAACAGGTTCCTGACAGGTACGTCCGGCCTGACGGGGCACTAGCAAGAACCGACGCACGGGCAGATCTGCTAATCACATCAGCAGTAACATTGCGAATCCCGGCAATAGGGGGGGGAATCTCGCAGGGCTAGAAACCGATGCTCTAACGGATGCGGCTGCAGAGTTCTGAACGCAGAAGTCACATCGAATTCGGCCAGAGCCGATCCCGGACCCACTTCGCGCAGTAACAGACGTATCTGGGGAAGGCCGGGGTACAACGCAGCCGTCAGCATGCGTGACGCATGGTTGACCCCCGACGTCCTGTAGTTCTTGATGATACGAATCTTGCTGTGAGCAGGGTCTTTCCAGACGACATTGGCCTGACTTATCCCCAGTCCCCCAATCTTCCGAACTCCGATCTATTTACAGATATTATCTTCCCGGTCTCAAGCTCACGCTGTATCTGCTCATTGAGTAGGTTAGCCATGACGCTGTCATCGGCTTGCGGACGAGAGGGAGGAGATCACTATCGGGCAGACCTTTCCACCGTATGACCTCAGGCTCCCCTGGGCGAAGAGATTGTTCATGGAAGGCTGGCCATGTCCGCAGATCCTCGGGGAAGGGGACGCTGAGCCCCAGCGGCATGCCACTCATCGCCACCGCAGCAATACCACAATCCTCGGGGCCTTCTCCTGGCCACGTGACCCTTGACTCCAGCAATCTGCCACGGATCGGCGAGATCGGTGAAGCAGACTGTAGAAGCGTTTCGGAGCTACCCAAACCCGTGGACTCCAGCAAGCGAGCGAGAGTGGCAGCTAATTGCTCGGATTCACACTCGATCCCCAATGCGACCCACTTGTTCGCCATCTCGGTCTGTTCCAACCTCGAAGCTTGCTCATAACGGAGCAGGAAATTCCGCACCTCAGGACGCCTAACCCAGGCCTCCGCCTTGGCTCGGACGGCCTTCGCAAGAAACCAAGGATAGCTTCTCTTACCGTGGTGAAAATGCGATATCTCCATCCCACTGAGAGAGGTCAGGGAACCCAGTACCATCTACTGGTGGGATCGACTCAGGAGGAAAAGAAGCGAACACGTCGGGAGTGTTAGCCTCCCAGGAGTGAAGTGTAGAGCTCCCACCTACATCGTCGTGTTGTGGCGAACTGGTCGAAGAGGCGACCGGCATCGGCGGGATCGGCCGATCAGTCTCCGCCGCCCTCGCGCGCTTAGCACGATAACGGGCACGATTCTTGCGCCTGCCCTCCACGGAGCGCTCCCCAGGAACCATGCGGAACCCCAAGCACAACTAACGAACCTGGGGCATTGAGCTCCACTCGCTGAACTCAAACCGGGAGTGCATAAAAACGATCATAAGTAGAGTCGGAATCAATTAAAGATGCGAGAGAACCAGCGCAGCTCAGTGCCGCTGCTTCTTGCCGGGAGGCTGCCGCTTTGAATCCGCGCCATCTTTTTCATGGCTTCTCGGGGGCCACGGGCACTTACGGATTTTGAGCAGCGGGCACTGACCACGAGTAAGGGGGGCAGTCGCCTGGCGGGACATGCTTCCCTTCCTCATCCGCACTTGGTGAAGATGTCGAAGTAGAACTTGTGGTGGCACTACCAGGGCTACTTTGCGCTCCAACGGCTGGGGTCAGCGTTCTCGTAGCCTCATTGAGAGCTTCCTGGTCCACCGCATTCCCAAGCAAACGGATGGTTGCCAGAGACAGCGAGATCTTCTCCCTTTCCGCCAAAGCGAAAGCTCTACCACTCAACGAGCGGCGAAAAGAAGCATCATAACCCACCACCGCGGCTTCTCCATGCACCATGCAGATCCTGCATAGCTGCTGCACATATTGGAGGATCCAAGGACCCGCCTCGAGGCCCACGCTCACGTCAACACAAAGTAATACTGGTAGTAGTCCGTACAATAGTTCACAGAGGCGCTTGGGCTGACGACCGGCAGCCGCAGTTTCTGGAATCCATTGGATAGCACCGTTGACATCCAACACTGGTTTCTTGCCCAACGAAGCACAGTCAGCACCTAGTTTTATCTCCCGGTAGGTGGAAGGGGACTCGGCAATCAGTTTCACCGTGGCCTGGTCTGCTACCAGCCCCGGAGAAGCAGCCCCACCGTAACGCTTGGAGACCCTCTCCATGTACTCGATCTGGCCGTTCGCAGTTGGGCCTTGCTTCCCCAAGGAAGCCTTGGCCGCTTACTGGAGAGCGGCTTCAACCCTCAGCCCGCGGACTAGGCGTTGCTGGGTTTGGTCAGCCGTCTCGTTCTCAGCCGGCGGGCAAAGGACGTCAACCACCGTCCTCTTCAACACCTCTGGCTTGGACACGAGGACAGGGATGTCCGATACAGCCATATCGATGGCCTGAAGCCTCTCTATGATAGCATCACGCAGAACCACTGGGCAGCTGGCTGGCATGATCGCGAGGAAGGCTTCGGTTCCTCTGGCGTTGGCGTTGGCCATGGGAACGAGCGGAGGACAATTAAAAACTGAAATGAGGGCGGCATTTAGACAAGAAATTCCTAGCGAAAGTAATTCCGAGCACGCTTGAATTCCGAACTAGCACGAGGAAGCACCATAGCTGATCTGGGGCTCCGCTGTAGCACAGCTGCGCACTGTGGGGGGGGGCTCCGACTCATGGGCTCCGGCCGCAGAGTTCGACGTGGTGAAATCTCCTGAGGAGGGTCCCGCTCCCACCACGAGACACCGAAACGTGCACGGACCTTCAGGAATCAACGCTCTCGGGCGTGTTTCCTCGGTCAACTACCGAGTGCAGCGGCTGCACTGTGGCCCACACTGAACCTCGGTCAGTATCACGGGCTGCTCAGAGCTTAAACGAAGCCCATCCCAAGCCTATTCAGGCACCGGGGTCAAGCGAGAGGACCGCTTACTCCCGAGTCGACGCTCAAGGGCGTGTCTCAGAGAGTGAAACCTCCCCAAGGGGACCAGTAACCACCGTCTGTGGTCTACAAACAGCTCGCTCCCGAAGCTGGAGAGTCATGACAGATCAATCCTGTACCGGATGCGAGCGGCAGTTCCCTCCCACAGGACGTCTGACCAAGTGAGTCAAGGTGTGACAACCAGCGAGCCACACCTTTGCCACCACAGTGCGAATAAATTGATCGAAAAATTCCTGAGCACGAGAGACGAGACGTACAAGAAACACGAAGACTCAGCGAGCAACGATGTCAACAGGTCTAGGCGAAGGCGACTGGACGTATAGGCGCGGCGAACATTCAACGAGCAGCAATTCAACGAGCAGCAATTCAACGAACAATCAACGAGCAGACGTACGAGAAGCGCTAGGTGACGAGTGAGCGAGAGGATCCAACGCGGCGAACCAAAAGAAAAATTTCCTCGGAACCGGCCCGGAAGACCTTCTCACGCCGGGTTCCGCTCCTTACAACCACGAACGCAACATATCGTTGCTACCACTTTGGTCGATTACGGGGGCGCGCGAATAGCTCGCGCACAAACGATGCTTGCTACGCTTGCTTGAACTTGCTCCAGGCAAAGCCCGGACCTTCACTTAAGATCACGGAGCTCACCGGGACCACCGAATGAGATGTCACTTTAGCTTGCTGGAATGGTCTAGTTGGTTATGACGACTGCCTAACACGCAGTAGGTCCCGAGTTCGATTCTCGGTTCCAGTATTGCCCCATCATTCGAAATATGCGTCAGATCATGCGCCGTTTTGGAGTTGCTACCGCGCCTTCGAATGCGGACGGTTTCTAGCGACTGCTCCTGGGGCACCGAAGCCCCTGCTACGTACTCGCCGGTATGGCTGTGTGGTCTAGTGGTATGATTCTCGCTTTAGGTGCGAGAGGTCTGGAGTTCGGTTCTCGACTCAGCCCACGATTAGGTGTCTTGCTGCTGAGCACGGCCTATATAGTAGACGGGCATTCAAGATCACGGAGCTCAGCGGGACCACGGAATGAGATGTCTTTTCAGTTTGCTGGAATGGTGTAGTTGGTTATGACGACTGTCTCACACGCAGTAGGTCCCGAGTTCGACTCTCGGTCCCAGTATTGCACCATCATTCGAAATATGCGTTAGATCATGTGCCGTTTTGGAGTTGCTACGGCGTCAACTATGGCTTCAGTGATCCTCACGTGTAACCTCTTCTATAGATATATTACCAAACTTAGTCGACTGGGTGCCACCCAGTGGGTGGTGTGGAGAGGACCTGAGGCACTTAGGTCCCCACCTAAAGCCTCGGTCACGGGACGGGAACCCGTCTAACTGGTACCCCGTTCACAGTCCGGGACTTCACACGGGTCCGTCCCGTCACCCAAACCTCTCCACTATCCACCCAACACGGAAGCATTACTAGAAAGTTTCTAGTAGAAACACACCTACCGCATAGATATCTGATTACAAGGTAGTCCAGTAGAGCTACTTCCTCTCAGCTTACAACGTGTCGCCTATTATCGCAGTCCATCAGTACCGCTTAACGGAGAATTTTCTCCGCCGTCCCCCTAGTGCGTCGGATCAAGGCGCTTTTAGCGTACCCCTGCCAGGCTCTGCTCGACTGACTCTAACCTTCTGTACATTTCGCCGTGCTATCCTCGTATCCTCCATCTACCAGGATTGTAGCTCCACTATGCCGGAAAGAGTGCACAGATATCCTGTCTTTGTTCCAGTCCTTGACCTTCGTTGGGAACCACCTCTTCATACTCGCCTTGAGAATCTGTTCGAACTTGTTCGTGCTCATCAGTGATACTCTTGGGAACAGCTTACCACTCTCCTGGCCCTTCAACTCCGCTCTATGCAACCAATGTGCCATGCAGAAATCTTCATGACAGGAGTAAGGGTACCCTCAATTCATTCTCACTGGCTTTAGCCCGACCCAGGCTCACCGTCCGGAGTAGAGATGGGCATCAGTACGGTACGGAGCCGTCCCGTTACAATAACCGAGTACGGGAGTATGCCGTACCCGTACCGTAATTTCGGCCGTATCACGGGTACGGGCGTGCGCTGTGGTAATTGTGTTCATGAACACGAAAGCGGCCCACTTGACGTGGCCCGGGAATAATTCGCGTTTTCTGCGCCAGTCGAATTTGGCGGCTGACTTGCTGCGTGCATGTGCTGAGCAGCAGAATAAGAAGTGCACCATCGCTCCCCGAGATGTGGTGACGAGATGGAATTCGACCTACCTATCTTCTTGACTGGTACAGAACCAACCGCTGTGTGTTTGATGATTATCAGCGTCAGTGCCTCAAGAGAGGTCGCGGTGACAGCCTCTACAGCCACTGCAAGAAGTACCAGCTGCTTGCTGGGGACTACGAGGTCGTTGAGGACTTAACGGAGACGCTCTCCTACTTCGTCGATGCCACGAAACTATTCTCAGCGACGAAGTTCTCCACCTTGGGAATGATAAGGCCCGTCATCGCTGGACTCCTCTCAATCCTCGAAGATGTTCAGGGAGGTTGCGGACGACGACACAAGATCAGGCAAAGCCTGGCAGGTGGCGTAAGAAAGTATTTCGCCGAGTTCCTTGCGGACAACACAACAGTCGGTAAACTTTGCACCTGTGCTGCCTATCTGACCCCACGAGTAGCCGATACTGAACGTGAGGATGTTGCACAGGCTGCTGTAAGCGAGTGCATGGAGGTCTTCGGCATTGAAGACCGAGTCATGATATTCCTCGAGCGTGATGAGGATCAGGGCGGAACCTACAATTTGCAGCCGCGATGTGATCTACTCAAGCGTGTCAAGAGAAGGGAGCCGTGCATTCGACAGGAAGACATGTCGACGGTGACAAGGGAGTTTCAAGTGTATGAAAGGTTATTAGCATCCAGGAATGCGGAGGCTGTTCCCTCGGACCCTCTGGAATTCTGGAAAAGTTACCCCAGAGTTACCCACCCTGTCAAGAGTGGCCTTCGAGGTGCTCTCCATTCCCAGTGGGTCGGTGGCTTGCGACGAGATGTTCTTGGTGTCTGGGAATTTGAGCCGTAACCGAAGGAGCAGGTTGTCGGGCTCGATGCTCCGTTCGCTTTTCTATGTCATTAAAAGAATACTAGTTCTTTTTTTTCGCTCGTTCCTTCTAGTCTGCCTTTGTAGTTCTATGATAGTGCTTTTCGAGTATCGTGTCATGTAGTGATCATGAGAAAGAGTTTCCATCAAGACTTGCTGACCCTGTGTTGAGAGAGAGGGTCATTTGTAGTTGGATTGTGACTATCTGCTGGCCCTGGGAGTGTGCCGTGCCGTACTGTCGTACCGTACTCAAATCTCGGGCTCTGTCACGGGAAATGTCGTACCGTACCGTAAAAAGTACGGTTTGCCCATCTCTAGCCCGGAGTCCGGAGTCACTGTTTGGTAAGGGACTACTCGTCGGTGGAAGCCGCCCGAGGCATCTACTTCGACTGGATCGCGAACTATGGGTGGCCATATCCTCGGATAATGCATCTTGCTTCTCCAGTAAGGCGTCGGCGGCCCTAGGGTCCTTGTGTGGGATCAAACTTCCGGGAAGTTACTTCCCCATTGTCCGCCATATCATCCGCAATCCAACATTGCGGAGCATCGAAATCGAGACCTACGACGATTTCTGGACATGTTCCCTTACGACCGTCGGGATGTTCTCTGTAAAGTTGCCCAACAGTCTCTCAACTTCTACACGATAGTTACCGACCGTCCTACTGCGGCCCAGCTGGCCTTGGGGGTGAGTCGCCCCGGGCGACTGATATGAGAGCTTCCCCTCTCGGCTTGTTCATCCCCGATCCCCTTCGTGGGGAAATGAGCACCACCACGTCTGATGCCGACTTCAACCACTTCAACGACCTCAAGAACATAATCTCTACGGCGACGAAGCGTATCGATGAATGGTTGCCAAAGAGAGTCAGCATCGGTGCGGATGAGCGACAGCGAGCAGCTGATGCGCGGGTTATACCGAGTGGGTCATCGAATATTCTCCCGTTACAAGCCGACCAGCAGGTTTACTGGAAGCGACCTTACCTGCTACGGTGGTCAGATGCATCAACCCTGAGTCGGGCACCTACATAATTGACCTCGACAGTGATTCCAATGGTTCGCCTTCAACAACTATTGTATCTGGTGATCAATTGGTGCCCCACGATGGTGTTGACTACCACGAGCCGGTTCTCAGAACCTTGTCCCGTACATCTCTCGAGGACATCAGCAGCGGTGACGTTATCTGCTGTCTCTGCGAAAAGGATCCAATGAGATTCTACTTCGCGAAGTATATCTGTCCGTTGACCACGGCGTCATCTGCGAGTGTGCAGCCGCTAGAGCTACAAGGATCAAAACTGAGGCGTATCGGCGATGCCATCTCCATCCACAGCAAGTATATCAATGCTGAAGTACAGCCATTCAAGCTGACCATCCGCTTGGCAAGCGGATCCCAAAGGCAGTGTCGGATCGGTTGTTGAGTGGCCAGTAATCGAACTCAGACATGGTTATCAACAGGAACCAATATCACCGCGCCCCTGGCGCTTCTTCCACCGTCACCCCTGGCTCACAAGGCCAAACCCAATTAACTCTTCCAACTGCAAGCAGCTCTGCTAACTGCTCTTGGTTACAGTTTGCGACCCTAGCATGACTGACTCCTCACTAGAGCCAGGTTCGTGGGGGAATGCTGTCATGGGCAAGCGCAACCTATGAGTATCTGCTGGTAGTTTCGATATGATGATAAAACTGCTGTCTCTTCACTCCCTCTAAACATTATGGTGATTAGAGCGTAGCCCTAGTATGCACGAGTGTCAATCTGTCATCATTTCAGTATTCATTTGCCTTGTTCTCAATTGACGCGTGGTTACGCACCCGCTTCAATATCCTATCCTTCTTGTATTGAGTTCCTCCGGCAGTGGTCCCAATACACGTCGCACGTGCTGCGCATGATCCGCATCCTTACAAAACTTTGTGGTGAGATAGAATGTTACGGTGAGACGCTAAATTCGAATGAATCTAGACATGCGCTATTTCATTCTGAAGAAAAAATAGTAAAAAACGAATACACGCGGAGAAAGCTTACAGATTCTCGTGGTCTAGCGGCAAGAACGGCGCTTGCGCGACGAGAGGTCTCGAGTCTGATTCTCGAGTCAGCCCCCTCGACGAGTCGTCTTGCTGCCGAGCACGGCCTATATAGTAGACGGGCATTTCAGATCACGGAGCTCACCGGGACCAGGGACTGCAATGGGATTTCGGCTTTCTGGAGTGGTCTAGTTGGGTATGACGACTGCCTAACACGCAGTAGGTCCCGAATCGGGTTGCCCCACGTGGTAAGGCTAGTAATCGTCAACTATTCAGACTGAGTAGCTGCTTCAACTCAAACACCTTGCGTTACCAAGGAAACATCAGTAGCACTCCATAGAAACATTGCATCAGTTGAAATGTATTCAGCTGCGGCCAATAATTCGAGGCATGCGCTCCCACAGCGATACCTCCTTATCACTTCCATCTATCACTTCAACCTACGTAGCACACTCTACCATCGCCACCACGAACTACGAACCACGAATTATCGTTCCCAAAGCACCTACCCGGCATTGTGTCCACAAAGGACAGTGAGAGTCACTGAGCCTCATATACTTTCTCCACATTTTATCGCATGCACTGATCATATCCTCTGAAGGTGACGTACGAAGGACTCGACGAGACAAAGCAATGGGCCTAGTGTCTACCTTTGGTGTCTCCAACCTTATACTTTCCACACTCAGGGCAGAACTTGGTTCGAGTCCATCGAATCAGAGCACTGGGCCTGACAAACGAAGACGATGAGGGCTATTACAAATTCTCCATATACACCTCCTTTTCTCATCCGAGAAAACCTGCGTACTGAATAACCGTCTCCCCGTCGACCATGAACGCAGCATGGGGTGACTAGTGTTAGTACAAC